CGGGGACTCGCTCCGCTTTTTTCCCGCCGCTCGGCAACGATCTATGGGCGCGTCGGCGCCGTGCGCTGTGAGGTTTCCGCAGGGCAGTGGCGGGCACAGCGCGAGACCGTCCCGTGCGCGGCTGCCCGGCCCCCTCAGGGCTGCAGTTTGCACATTTTACTTCCCCGGGGGGGCCGGGGGCGCTTTCACAATTGCTGCCTCCCTCGCCAATCGTGCCCGCGTGGTGCTAACCCGGGCACGTTGAGCACAAGCCTCAGGCGAAGTCTCAGAAGGGTGTGAGCACAACTTCCCAGAGGCGTTGTGTGAAGCTTTGATCCCTGCTTCAGGTATATTTGTAACCAGACGTGTCATCCTTCAAATGTCTTTGGATCCTTTAATATGATTCCGTGGACAAATGTTCTCCAAAGGGCTGGACCTCAAAGAAACCTGCCCCTTCAAGTCCAATTCTGGTTTTTCAGAAGTGCCGGGGTTGTGTTAAATTCCAGTCCTAAAGCTAAACCAAGAGTTATTTTAGGTTTCTTAATTCAAGGGGTTTTTAAAATTTGTCTTAAAAGGTTAAATGGATATACCTACATGCTAAAAACAGTATGTTTATAAAAGGAATTGAAGAAGTCTACTAGCTTTAATTGATTTTTGGAGTTAAATGGTATAATATTCATTTTTTAAAATCACATAAAAAGAACTTCCCAGCTATTTTTAATTATTTACTTGTCTCCCCACTTTTTTTCTGTGTGGTTACATTCCAGTGTGCATCTTTGTCAATGAATAGATGGAGGTTATATCCATAAGACCCAAACTACCAATCAGAATGTGACAGGACATTCATCTGAACTGTTCATCCATATGGGATTGCTTGAAAATCTCTGAACAAAGGCACTGGGACTGCACCCAAAACAAGAGTGGAGCACTCATGGGGACATTTCTAGAAGAAGAATCACACGGGCTAAAAATCTATTTTTGAAAAATGAACACTCACCATCATGCAACTTCAGGAGCAGGGTTATGAAAAACAAACACTACAAGAGTTGCTAAAAGAGTTGGAATACTGCCAGATGAGGCCATAATGTCTCCACCCCCAACAGCAGTGGACAATTTTTCCCATTTCCAAGACCTTTTTAAAAGGCTCAGGGCAAAACTTAAGATAGCCCTAAAGATGTCTGAAACACAGCATGAGCTTACAGACAACTTACAAGCCTAATCATCTCTTTAAGATCGTGCTTCCCATCAGGCCTGCTATCATGGTCCCCACCAAGATAGTATGGCAGACCCTGGCTTCCATACTTCCTACTTGCAAGAGAGCCAATAGAAAGTATTATGTACCATTTGAGGATTCTGAATTTGTATTTACACATCGAAGTCCAAACTCCTTACTGGTGGAAGCAGCACTCCAGTGCAGCAAGCAACAACACTTCTGAATGACCCTTTCTTATAAGTATAGTAAGCGGTTAGATATCTTTGGATAGAAAGTTTATATGTCCTCCATTTTACAGTTCAGGATTTCTAATTACTCTGCGTTGCTGGCCAAATACAACCACAGGAATTATGCCAAGTTCCTTGACTTTGTGGAGGATATACTCAAAGTGTAAAGACCACGATACAAGGCTATAGTCTCAGAGGCCCAAATTATCACCTGCACAGCCTTCCAGGCAGCACTCAATGCAGCTGGCAGCACTCAATGCAGCTGATACCACAGCACGATCCACTGTAACTGCAGAAGTCGTGTGGAGAGCCTCTTGATTTACTTCAACTACATTCTCAAGAGAAATATAGCCTATGATGGAACATCTTCCCTTGGATGGGGAAAAATTGTTTGCAGGCAAGACCAACGAGATCCTACATACAATGACTCACATGCCATACTCTGTTCCCTCAGAATTCATATCCCAGCAACCAGAAGAAGGCAATATCAGTATCAGCCCTATTAACGCCTGCCCACTATCCTCCCTACACCCAGCAGAAACCAAATGAAGATTCAGGCTGACAAAGGCAAAGGCCACAGTGCTGATGACAATCATCAGGATTGGCACTGCACCCTCCTCTACCCAATAAGTAAATTTGAAGGCTTAGTCAATGATCTCGAAGACCTCGGATCTGTTACAGAATATCGCCACCCCAATATTTGTGGATTGACTATGCTCCTTTTATAAGAAGTGGACATCCATAATCTGACAGATGGATTTTAGAGGTTATCTTTTTTGGATATGTTATCCCTTTCTTCTCCACCCTTCCAAACCACTCATGTGTCATGGCTCTTTTCAGGAACTCTTCCCACAAGTTACAACTGCATCAAGAGGTAGAATATCTGCTACAATTGGGGTGGTGGAACCTGTTCCCTCACAACACAAAGAGAAAAGGTTCTAGTCCTGATACTTTTTAATCCAGAAGAAAAGCAGTTTTCAGACTCAACAAGTTTGTAAAGACACAATGATTCTGCATGATCAGACTCACCACTATCATTCTGTCATTGCAATAGGGGATTGGTTTTCAGTTCTTGACCTTCAGAATGCCTATTTTCATGTGTCACTTCATCCCTCCCACAGATGCTTCCTAAGGTTTATGCTTGGTACTGACTATTATTAGAACCGGGTCCTGCCCTTTGGCTTTTCCATAGCTCATCATGTGTTTTCCATGATAATAGCAATCGTAACAACACATCTTCCCAAGCTAGAAATAATCATATTCCTTTATTTGAATAATTTGTCTTCTCAAGACATGCACTTACCAAGAGGCAATCCTATCTACTCAAACAACAATGTACTGCTTCCACCACATAGGCCTGCAGATGAACATGGCAAAATCAGTCCTAAAACCCACACAAATGATACAGTTTATCAGAGCATACCTAGACTCCATGACCTCTCAAGCAATGCTTCCACTCAATAGATTTCACACCACACAATCTCTGGTAGCCACACCCTATTACACTCTGCAAACAGCATTGGAGTGCTTACTGCTCCTCAGACATATAGCTGCATCCACCTTTGTGGTTGGACACAAACTCGTTTGCACATGTTGCCTCCAGGCATGGTTTGCAACTATCCAAACTTCACAGACACTCCATCTCACCATATTTCAAGTCACAAAAAATCGCTCAAATGGTGAACGCAACCAACCAATCTATATTCAGGCATTCCATTTCTACCTCAGAATCCTTCATGGACATATATCACAAACGCCTCCTGTATTGGGTGGGGAGCACATCTTCAGAACCAAGGTTTCTAGTCAACCCAAGAGGCAACTGGGGATGTAAAGATTGCACTGTAAGCATTAGCCTTGCTGCCATGTTTACCAGGAAGGCAAGGAAGGGGAAGCAGCTCTCTGCCTGCTGTGGCTGAGTCAGCAGGACCCTAGACAAATGGAGCAGTGCACTGCTTGCAGTACAGTGGGACTCTGGTTGGCTGAAGTAGTGCCCATCTGCAGCACAGCAGTACCCAGTCCAGCAGGAGCAGCCCACAGCTCGGCATGATGCCAACCTGTGGTGCAACACTTGCTGGAGCAGCACCTCTGGTCATGGTGTGGCACGTACCCCAGCTGGCTGGAGCATGCCCCCACTCATGGTGCAGCAGGACAAAATCTGGCTGGAGCAGCAGTCTGCCCATGGCACAGTAGAACCCAGTCCAGACAGAGCAGCCCCCTGCTCACGGTGGAGTAGGACACTGGCCGGCTGGAGTAGTCCCCTCGAACCCAGCCATCTGTTGCACCCCCAGTCCGTGGTGCAGCATGGCTCAGATCTGCGGTGCAGTGCCAGCCTGCACAGCCCCCCTCAGCTGTAATACAGCAGGACCCAGACTGCCTGGAACAGGCCCTTCTTCCGCCGTGCAGAGTGTTGGCCAGACCCCGGTTGCACAGTTAATCAGTTAAACAATTACAATTATATAGTTTAACTGATTAACTTTTTTCATGGATATTTACATCCCTACTCTGCATATTAATCTCCTTGAACTTCATGCTGTACACAATGCTTGCAGCCACTTTCTCCCTTTCCTCTGCAACTATCGTGTGCAAGTGATGACAGGCAACATCACGTGTGTTCTATATAAACAGGTGGAGAGAGTCAGGTCCCATTGGCTATGCACCAAAGCCATTAAACTCTGGAACTTTTGTATCCCTGGACTTTCATGATTTGAATAACTATTGCCCAGTTGCTAATATTCCCTTCTTGGGCAAGGTATTTGAGCGGGCGGTGGCATTGCAACTTCAAGCTTTCTTGAAGAAACAGATTATTTAGATCCATTTCAGTCTGGCTTTAGGCTGGGTTTTGGAACTGAAACTGCCTTGGTTGTCCTGGTAGATGACCTACACTGGGAGATAGACAGGGGGCGTGTGTCCCTGTTGATTCTCTTGGACCTCTCAGCAGCTTTTGATACCGTTGACCATGGGATCCTCTGGAACGCCTGGCAGAGTTGGGTATTGGAGGCACTGTTCTGCAGTGGTTCCAATCTTACCTGTCGGGACCCTTTCAGAAGGTGAAGCTGGGGGGCTGCTATTCAACCCCATGATAATTGCGCTACGGGGTCCCTCAAGGTTCCATCTTGTCCCCTATGCTGTTTAATATCTGCATGAAGCCACTGGGAGAGGTGGCTCATAAGGAGTTTTGGAGGATGGTGCCGTCGATATGCAGATGACACCCAACTCTATTTCTCTGTGACATCAGAACTGGGTGTGGCAGGACTGATCTAAACCAGCATGTGGGGGCAGTGATGAACTGAATGAAGTTAAACAAGCTGAAGTTGAATCTAGGCGAGACTGAGGTCCTGTGGATCAGGAGGCTATCTGTTCGGGAATGTGGAATGGTACCTGTTCTAGACGGGGTTACTCTCCCCCTGAAAGAACAGGAACATAGCTTGGGAGTCCTCCTGGACCCTTTTTTAACATTTGAGAACCAGATTTCTTCGGTGGCCAAGAGTGCTTTTGGGCAGCTTCATCTGATCCGCCAGCTGCAACCCTTCCTGAACAAGCATGACTTGGCCACAGTGATCCATGCTGTTGTTACATCCCGACTGGATTACTGTAATACACTTTATGTGGGGATGCCTCTAAAGAGCCTTCAGAAATTTCAACTGGTCCAGAATGTGGCTGCTTGAGTTTTAACTAATACTCGTTATACGGAGCACAGTATGCCAGTGCTCTGGCAGCTGCGTTGGCTTCCAGTATGTTTCCGGGCACAATTTAAGGTCTTGGTTATGACCTATAAAGCCCTAAATGGGTTGGGTCTGTGGTATCTGAAGGACCGTCTTCTCCCATATGAATCTGCCCAGGGATTGAGGTCAGCTGGGAAGGCTCTGCTCAGTGTTCCCCTACTTATGGAGATAAGATTAACATCTAGGCAGAACAGAGCCTTCTCAGCTTTTGCTCCTAGTCTGTGTAATTTGCTTCCTCGGGATATTCGCATGGCACCAATGTTAGCATTGTTTTGGCATCAGGCTAAAACTACTCTTTTTACTTGTACTTTTATTGGTGTTTGAGTCTGTGTGTGTGTTCCTCCTCTCAAGATGTTTTAACAGGTTTTATGTCCCTCTGGGGTTTCATATTTTAATTTTTTATATATATTTGTATTGTGTTTCAAAAATTTTGTAAGCCACCTTGAATATTTTAAATAGAGAGGCGAGGAAAAAAATATTTAAAATAAATAAATTATAAATAATAGAATGTTCAGAACAGGTCCAGCATGTACCCCTGTACAGCACGAAACCTTCCACCCGCTCTTTCTATACCTACAAATGGAGACAATTTTTGATATGGTGCACATTGAAACATGTCAACACAGCAACAACACCTATCCCACGCATATCAGACTATCTTCTTAACCTCAAACAGATGGACCTATCCATCAGATCCATTAGGGTACAACTGGTTGGCACTCATGGCATTTCACCACAAGATAGACAATGCCTCCATTTTTGCCCATCCCACTACAAAGTGATTCTGAAAGAACCTGCAAATTCTTTACCCTGTGACCCCCCCGTTATTCTTTTTATACAGACAGAACCAAAACCTTCAGAAATATCTCATTTTTTTGTATCCATAGCAGACTGCTCTACAGGGGTGCCAATTTCTAAACAAAGACTCTCTAAATGGATCGTGGACTGCATACATCAGTGTTATGATCTTAAGAAATCTCAGACTTCTCGCTCCCTGACAGTGCATTCTCTACCTCAATGGCATTCCTTCACAATGTTCCACTCATAGGCTATGTCTACACTGTGGAGCTCTGCCACAACCAATGAATGCTTCCGCTTTTTTGAAACAGCTTGTGAAAAAGCGGACGCATTCTTTTGGCATCCCTGTATTCCTCATTTTATGAGGAATAAGGGATGTTCCGAAAGGAGGTTTTTCTGACATTTGGCCCCGTGTAGATGGGCCAGATGTCAGAAAGGCCTCTTCAGAAAAAAAAGTGGAAAAAGATACGCAAATTGCACTCCATTAGGCAAAGCAGTACTGTCTTCAGTCTTCCAGCACACTCTGAACCCCCCCTACCACCATGAACAGAACTGCTTTCTAGTCACCAAGAATGGAGCACTTTCAGGAGCATCTCAAAGAAGGAAAGGTTACTCATCTTGTGCAGTAATAAGAGCTCGTCAAGATGAGTGTCCCTGTGGGTGCTCCATTATCTATCCTCCTAGAGGACTGCTAGAAAATCCTTGATCAAAGGCACCAGGACAGAACCCAAACCAAGAGAAGAGCACCCACAGGGGCACTCATCTCAAAGAGCTCCAATTACTGCTTAAGGTGAGTAACCTTCCCTTCTGAGTTAAGCCTGAAAATGTGACTCAGCTGCCTTTCAAAGTTTTGGAAATTGAGGGTAAATAAAAAACACTGAAATGTATTTTAAAATCTCGTAGTTTTAAGCCAATCTCATGATTTTGAGAAGCCTGGAATAATTTTTGAATACTTCAGGTTAGAAATACTGTAAACTCCAGTGTTATTAAGATGAAGGCAGAGTTTTGTGAAGCTGGCTTAACAGAACACATGAAGTGAGTTAAAATATATTTTCTTTGTAAATGTTAATTTCATTTATCAGAAAACAGGGGGATTAGCAGGATCCAAAAACTGTGATACATTCAGTTGTCATGTTTGTTAAATACTTTGGCTCTCTTAAACCATTATGTACAACTGAGCTAACTTGGCATTTTAATTTGAGAGCCCAAATATTTCTAAAAACTGAGAGATGTTCAGGGTTAAGATGGATAAGTAAACCTAAATAGAGACTTCTTACATTTATGTTTGTGCTTTTAAAAATAAAAAGTATCTTTATATTGTGGATAAGAACATAAAAATGACTGGTTTTACTGGGTTTTACGAGTGGTCCATCTAGCTCAGGGCTCTCAAACTCATAGGCAGAGCAATTGTGTAATCCTTCCCAGGACTCCCAGCAAGGTGTGGGCAGGTCTCTCTGCTACAGGTCCTCAGCCCTGCCCCTTCTAGCTATAACCCGTCTTTCTTCCCCTATGGCACCAGTTTCCCCAGGATGCTGCTTTAGGATCACCTGAGAGGCCTGGCGCAGTAGCAGCAGTTACACCCTTTGCATTTCCTGCGGCAGCAGGAGCTGTGGGGAAGCAGAGTACAGCTAAGCAAGTGTATTCGTCTAGTGTGTTCTGCTTCCCCCATGACTCTTGCAGCTGCAGGGAATACAGGGGCCCGATTGCTGCCACTAGACCAGGCCTGCACAACTCAGAAAGTGATGAGAACCATATTACTCCAAAGAAAACAGCTGTGGGCCGCAAGTAGGGATGCTTTCCCAAAAAATACCAAACATGCAGATAAAAATTTTTGTTGAGCAAAAAAAAAAAACACCGCGTGTCTCCACTTAGTCCCCTGGCATTTGTCTCTCCTTCAACCTTCCCCTTGGTGTCTTCCCCTTTCTTCTGACCTGCCCCCTCCCCTCAGCACAAGCCTCTTCCCCTCCCCTACCTGGCTTCTGCCTTTTTGAATCCGGTGGTCACTGGCTGTGGTGTCCTGGCATCTGCCGGCGTCTTGCGCTCTGGCTCGCGCCCCGCCTCCTCACGCTGGATCTGCATGCAGGCAGCCTGGTGGCGAGAATCGCCGCACTTCCCCCTCCCCAGCGGTGCTCTGCTCCTCCGCCCGGCCGGCGGATTGGATGGGGCCGCGCTGCCCATTGCTGTCACAGGCCGCACAGTAAGCCCCTGCTGGCCGCATGCGGCCCTCGGGCCGTATGTTATGCAGGCCTGCACTAGACTATGCCATACTCCCCTCAGTGATCCCTGAAGAACAGTCCCCCTTTACCCGACCCACCAGGAGTCTTAAAATGGATTGTGCAATTGTGCCAGCCATGGATAGCCTGTGGGCCAAGAGTTTGAGACCCCTGATGGGCTCATAATCCTGTCTCTCAACAGTGCTAGATGCTTCAGGGAGAATTAATAACAGGGCACTTATGATACATCCCACGTTGTCCTGTCCCAGCTTCTTTTGAACAGTGAAAGGCTTAGAGACACAGAGCATAGGGTTGCATCCCTGACCATCTTGGCTGAGGGTCACTGACAGGTCGATCTTCCATGAGCTTATCTAATTAATTTCTGAATCTGGTTATACTTTTGGCATTTCTAGCATCGCTTGACAAGGAGTTCCACAGGTTGACTGTATTTTGTGTGAAGTACTTCCTTATGTTTGTTTTAAACCTGTTATCTATAATTTCATTGGATGACCACAGGTTCTTGTGTTATATGGATGGGTAAATAACATGTCTATTCCCTTTCTCCACATCATTTTATAAGATTCGATAGGCCTCTGTCATATCCCTCCTTAGTCATCTCTTGTCAAAGCTCAGAAGTCTCAGTCTTTTTTAATCTCATATGGAAGATGATGACTTTTGTTGCCCTTCTCTGTACTTTTTCCAAGTCTAATATATATTTTTTTGTGAGGGCATCACCAGAACTGCATGCAGGTGTTAGCATACCATTTTGAATTCAGAGTTCAAAGCTTGTCTCTATCATCAACAGAAGTTTGTGCAATAAAAGATATCTCATACCTTGACTCTCTAATATCTATTATGGCTATAAGAAACTGCAAGCAATCTTTTTATTGTATCCTTTTGGACTTTTTTCTTTGTGATAAACAGGACCCTTTTGACAATGGTGAACCAAGCAATTGCTGAAACAGCCTCCATTTTTAGCCTGGGTTCTATTAAAGGGCATATGAAAGAGAAGACTAGAGCTTTAAAAGATGCAAAACGGAATGTCTCTCTTGCATCTAAAATCAAAACTAAAATAATAAGTGAGTGTAATTATTTTAAACTATTACAGTGATGCAATCCATATGCTGTGTGTGTCATTGAAGTAAATGTGGTGATGGTTGTGCTTATTGTTGTTTGCTAAATTGCCTAAATAAAGAAGATTAATATAATATTAAGGCTGAGAACTGAAAGATGGTCTTGTGGCTAAAACTTGTCACTTGGAGTGACAATTATTCTATTCATTGACTAGTTCTTTGCTAAACATTCTGTCCTTGACCTTTGACAAGTCAGCTAGGCCAAACATTTTAAAAGTGCATGCTAATTTTATATGCCTCAGTAGTAGTTGTGGTTGTTCAACATGTCTACAATCAAAATGTCATAATTAGTGGATTTTTTTTAAAATGTTGGCATTAACTACTGTGTATCTCACTTTTCCTCATCTGCAAAATGTGATGGGTTATAAAAGTCCTGGGGCCATATATTGAATGACTAGAAGATTTACCCAGCGTTGCTCAGGTCTTTAAGTCATTTTTTTATTTTTGGAAAATGAAATGAAAATATAAATGATTCATTTGAATCATTGCTCTGGGGGTGGAGCTGGGGATGAGAAATTAAATATGTAGGATGTCCTAGAAGGAGAGGACTACTCTCACCACAGCAGCTTAGGGCTATGTAAGAAGTATCTCGCCATGGCTGATAGAGCTTCAGCAGGCACAGCCATGAGGGGTGCATGTGCCTTGGCAGAGGGTAGTCCAAGTTCATTTGCCCTCTGCACTCCCCAGCCAGAGTGAAGAATGCAGCAAACTACACTTTCCCCTCACTGTCTGATGAAGGGTAACAGCTAGCTATGTTCCTGTACAAATCAGGGGAGGCAGAGGGGAGGAGAGAGCCCCAACCAGCTCCTTTTACCAGCCTGATGATTCTGTCTCTTTTCTGTATGGTTTTCTGAGAAGCAATCCCATTTTCCTGGCATAATCAAACCCTTACCTTGCTTTAAGTTAAAATAAAAGGAAGCTGTATACCAAATTTAGTGGTCTGTTTAGGAGTTCATGAACAGACAGACAGCCTCTCTCAAATATGTAATAGATGAGGATAAACAAAACTGTTTAATAACTGCCTCATTTTCTTACCAATCTGTTCTGTGCACTCAATGAATGAGGAATAGCTTCATTTTATAGACTTCATATTTAAACACATGGTTTTGGCATGTTCTTTATGAAGACAATGTAATGAGATAAGTAAATGAGAGGTTTGTCATGTTAGAACAGGGGCGGGCAATAATTTTTGATGGGGGGCCACTTCAGAAATTTTTGAAGTGGCCCAGGGCCATCATGGAAGAGGTGGAGCCTCATTTGCAAGGGGCAGGGGCAGGACACTTCCATGCTTCCCCACCCACAGACCCTGATTGGTCTGGGGGTGGAGGAGCGCACAAAGTCCTTGCTCCCTCAGAAAGAACTGCCAGCTGTTCTGAACAGCTGGTGGTTCTCTCTAGGAGTACGTCTAGACTACATGGCTCCGTCGACGGAGCCATGTAAACTAGATTACCCGGCATAGTCAATGAAGCGGGGATCCAGCACAGCGCAGTCGACAAGGTAAGCCTTTGTCGACCACTCCGGTATGCCTCGTGAAACCCTAGGTGCCCATGCCCCTGGAAGTGGGAGGAGACTTCGCATGTTCCCCTCTGCTCCCCGCAGGTCAGTCAAGGCCTGGGGATGGAGAGCATGTGAAGTCTCTCGCTCCCTGCCCCTGCCCTGCAAGGGAGCACCGCTCTTAGAGTCAATCTCCAGTTGAGCAGCAGCTGGCGGTTGATTTTAAGTGTTGAGCCCCTTGCAGGACGGGAGGAGACTTAACGCGTTCCTCCTGCCCTCAAGACCTGATTGGCCTGGGAGCGAGGGGGAGCATGCGATGTCTCCTCCCACCCTGCCTCCAAACTGCAAGGAGCATGAGGTGCTTAGAAGTGCCTCATGCCTCACAGGGCAGGAAGAGACTTTGTATGCTACCCCAGGCCAATCAGAGTTTGGAAGTGGGGAGAGAATGCAAAGTCTCCTCCGGCCCTGCCAGGAGTGCACAGCGCTTAGAAGTGCTATGCACTCCTTGCAGGATGGGGGCAGCATGGGAGGAGACTTTGCGTGCTTCCCTCCTCTCCCAAGCCCTGATTGGCAGGGCCTCCATTGGCCTGATCAACTTGCTTCGTGGGCCAGATCCAGCCTGCTGAGGCCCTATTGCCCACCCCTGTGCTAGAATCTTGGTTTCTATTCCCAACACAGCTAGAAGTGATTATGCAACCTCTCAGCTCTTCAAATAGCTCGGCTGTAAAATGTGAGCTATAAATACTTGTCTGTCTCTGAAGGTAGAAGTGTGAGGCTTGCTCAGTAATAATTTTGAAGGTTAGAGAATTATAACATAGGCACTGGAGGAAGGACAGCTAGAAATCAAGATCTCCTTTCTCCCAGCTCAGAGCACCTTCTTTTAGATCAGAAAGTATTTTGATAAGGAATAGAATCAGTTTAGGCTGTGTTTTGTATCCAGTTCTGTGGTTAGTATGTGTATTATGCAGAAAACTCAGCATCACTTTGGAGCATTACAGTATGTTAGAACATTAAAAAAATGAAAAACCAGTGTCCAGTTGGTTTTACCGTGATTTCACAAATAGAGATTATATAGTGGCTGGACAAATTTTCAAAAGGAGAGTGGAAAGCCTAAAATCTAAGTCTAAGCCCTTTTAAATTTTAAGTTCTTGATCAAACCTTTGAGACACTAGAGTTGTTTAAAAAAATGAACACATCCGGAAATGTATTGTAACTGGCAAAGCTACTCATTAACTTTGTTATTGGAAAGCACTGCACAGTTTTTGCTCAGACTTTACAACAACAAAGAAAAAGAAAAGTTCAACTTGAGAGTGAGACCATGAATGGAATAAACTTTTAATATGAACCTGATTGGATAGTTGCTAGAGTGACAAAGCAACTGGAAACAAAGGTTTGTAATATTTCCTAGGCCAACTGTAAAGATTGCTATTGCTCCCTCAGTAATGTCATAGAGTGTAGCTGAAAGAGAAGCAAACTGATTAAAAGAAGCTGAGGTGTGAGCAAAAAGTAGAAAAATATTATTTTGTTTCTTTCTACAGACAACTCTTCTATTTTTAAGATATCTTTAAAACACAATAACAAAGCATTGGCTCTGGCTTTGACTGTGGAGAAGGAAAATACTCGGAGGCTGAAGAACGAAAAGATCTGCTTACAGCAAGAAGTAGAGAAGTTGCATTTCCATAATGTCTTGCTTCGGCAAAAATTAAACTGTTTGGTATGCTCTAATTACAATAATACTTAAACCTTCCAAGCAAATAAAGGCAAATATAAAATTTTAATGGAAACCTAAGAGAAAATTAGTTAAAATTTTTAAATAGAACATTTAGAAATATTTTATGTATGATAATTATTCAAAATATACAGTTGCCACACGATGGAAAAAGGTAGAGCTATATTCAGGATTCATTTTTCCTTTATGGATCACCTCATGCTTCTGATTATTCTTAAGCCCAACAAACTCTGTCAACATTTTAATCCTTGTTTTATTTTTGTATTTTTCAGTAAGCAAATTAATCATATTTAGAAATTGCTTCTTCCTCTGTTTTGATGAGAAAGTTACAAAAGGTGTTATTTATGATTTTTTCCTCTATAAGGGCTTAACTGTTAAAAAGAGAACTCTTCCTTTAATACCTCATTTATATTTTTGCATATACAGAATAAAACTCTCATAGAAATAGAAGCATTTATGAATAACAACCTTTTAAGTGCAATTGAAATGAGCAGTTTTTCTGAGGTAAGTGTCTTGTTTGACTATTGACAGTATTGTAAATAAAAGGGAGTAAGGCTGTTGTGTCTGCTGTTTAGTCCTGTAGTCAGTATTTTTAAATTTTTGATCAAGGGTAACATTTTCTGAAGCACCTAAGACCTATCTTCAATGGAGTTCAGGCTTTTAACTCATTTAGGCACTCTAAAAAATTTACTCCAAGTGTTTAGATTTTTGTGATGAAATCTTGGTCCCAGTGAAGTCAATGGGAGTTTTGTAATTGATTTCAAAGAAGCCAGGATTTCACTCTTTGTATTTGGAGAACCTAATTCTAAAGTTACTTAGATACTTATGCTTGATGAAACCACATTGTGCAAAAGTGCTGTTGGTAAATTTAATGTGTGTCAGTCTCCTTCATTCTAACCTCCACCTAGCACAGGCCTGGGAAAAATACGGCCCACAGGCTGGATCCAGCCCACCAAGTCCACCAGATCCAACCCATGGACACTGGGGAGCCCCAGGCAGGCTCCCTGTTTGCTTCCCTCCCCCTGCCCGCCACTCAGAAACATGGCTGTGGGGCGGTTTCCCTTTATAAACTCTGAGCTCTGAGGGGAGTGGGAAGGCTTCAAGTGCTGTTCCTGCCCCCAGCACAATCCCATTGGCCAGTGTCTGGGCAGAAACTGGCCAATGGGAGCTAGCTGTTTGAATAACAGGCAGCCACGAAGCACCATGCCTCCTCCCCTCCGGGCTCAGTTATTCACTGGTAGTTATGTACAAAGCACATGGCTACTAGCCTGTGCAGGGGTGGGGCAGGCTCCTTGCCTGCCTGCCTAAGAAACTTCTGGGCTGCTGGCTGGGAAGTCTCTTGGCCAGAGCCTGCCCCTGTCACCCCAACTTCTCCCTTCCCCAACCCTCTGCCCCCCACTCCTGCCCCCCTCTTGCACTCCAGTCCTCTTTCCTAGATTACAATCCCTTTCTGCCCTAGCTCACAACCCAAACCCCTGCATCCCCTCCTGTACCCCAATTCCATGCCCTAGGTCACAACCCAAACCCTGGCGCTCCAGTCCAGTGCCCCAGGTCACAACTGCCTCCTTCATCCAATATTCATCACAGACTCCCCCCACCTCCTCTATTAATACCATGGAAAAGTGCAGCCCTTGACCACTTTTTAAAATTCTTGGAGTGGCCTGCATAAAAAAATTATTGCCCACCCCTGACCTAGCATGATGTTGGAGGGAACTGTGCTGTGGGCATTTTCATCTTTTAGATGAGACCTCTGCCTGAAAATGTGGTATCATGTCAGAATTTCTATTTAGGAATACATATTGTTTTCCTATATACCTATATAGTTTCAACACAATATTTTTCACTCTTTTCTAAACTATCGAACAGTACTGCCCTTCATTTTTATATAGTTTCTGCACTTCAGTGATGCATGAAATAATTTCTATATATGTATTCACACCCACACCCACACACTTTGGGTATGTCTACACTAGCCCCCTAGTTCGAACTAGGGAGGCTAATGTAGGCATTCGAAATTGCAAATGAAGCCCAGGATTTAAATATCCCGGGCTTTATTTGCATCTTCCCGTCCGGGCACCATTTTTAAATCCCCCTAGTCCAAACTAACTGCCCGCAGCTACACGCGGCAGTCAAACGTTAACTTGAACTAAGTCCTTAGTTCGAGTTAACTGTTACAGCTCGTGGAATGACTAACATGGCTCCTTCCCTTTTTTCATATGTTTAATAGCATATTCAGAATCCTCTTCTACTGCCAAGTGGTCAAAACATCTCTGCTGATCATCAGTCCAAGACTTCAGATCATCCAGTTTTACAGACTGGGTGAGCGTGAAAATGTGGAATTCTGCTAAAATCTGTTGACGGCTTTTATAGATCTAATTGCTGCATGTTATGTTAGAATAAAAAAGAGATTTTTTAGAAAAAGGTAATAAAGAAAGCTTTTGTGTCCAGTTTGGCAGATTGAGACATCAAGTTATTAGCAAAATATAAACAGGCAGAACTGATGCCTGCATAAATTTGGTCATTTCTCTCTAGCATGTAAAAAAGATAGTATATCAGAAAAAAAAACATTTTCCCTTAAGCTATAACCAAAGCAAAACCACTCTCGACCTGTGTTCTTGTTTTCTGCTCACTGCTGTATATTATTCGTGTTGCATTATAATTTCCTGCATAGTAAAATTTCCTCATTTCAGATCTGTAGGAACGGCAATGAAAGTTCCATTAATCGCAGCACATAATGCAAAAGATCAAGGCAGCCCTTCATTGTTTGGAAAACCAGAAGATCATTGTAACCTCACCTCTGTAATAGCAAATGAAATTTGCCCAGCTCAGATCAGTGTTGAATTATTGTTAGAGTCTGAGAAAAATAAGCAAAAGTCAAGTGAAACAGACAAAATGGAAACAATCTTTGACTCAAGTAAATTTTTCGCAGGTATGGCATATTTTTGTAATCATTTTGTTTTTAGAAATTACTATGTTTAATATTTAAAGTAAATTAATTATCGTGAGATACAGTACATATATATAATAAACCAAAGCCTACTTTTATGTCAGTGGATGTTTCTGGGAAATTCATAAATTTTAATATTTTCTTTCCTTTAATTGCAAACAAGGATGCCCACCCAGAGCTGTGGGTGCATCTAAAATATTTTAAAAAGCAGTTCTTATACAAATAATTACCCAGGAGCATAATAAAGCCCAAAATTAACATAATCAGGTGTTAATTCAAAGGGAAAAAAGTATTCTGTCCGAATCCAACCTTCCCCCACCCGCAATAGTTCCCATGACTTCAGCTTTCCCCAAACACCTAAGCAAATAGATGGCCCTCTAAAACTTTAAAGTTAATATATTTGGGCTATTTCAGTCCATGGGGAAGCACATTGCAGATTCAAGGAGCCTCACAGAAAACACCAGACTTTTATTCTAAGGAGACATCATCTTTAGCATTTTCACTGATGGCAACTGTGGTAATCTCACATTAAGAGGTAGGTGGTTCTTCTTCGAGTGGCCCCGTGGGTGCTCCACTCTAGGTGTCAGGTCCATCCCGGCGCCACTAATCGGGAGATTTCATAGCCATATCGGGCCGGACCGCACATGCTCCCTGCACCGCTGGTCATTCGCACCCTTTCTAACGTGTGCAGTTCGCCCTCCCTGCCCCGCCAGTTCCTCTCAACCGTCCTCGGTTGCTGACGGGAGCTGGCAATCTCTCTTCGGTCGCTTACCATTTCTCTGCAAAAAAAAAAAAACTTGTGTAAATAGTTAAACTTTAGTGTTAGTTAGTTATTAGCCTTTGTTTAGTTAGTCTTTAAAAAAAAGAGAGAGAAAAGAAGATCGTTTTAGTCAGTTATGCGCTGAAGCGCTTTTCTTGTCTGTTTCACCACCATGTCCGGATCACCTGGCTTTAAGCGGTGTGTTCAGTGTAAAGACGCAATGCTCGCTTTTGATGGGCATGCACTCTGCATTCATTGCCTGGGGGAGTCTCATGTCACTAGCAAATGTGCCCAATGCTGTAAACTAACACTGAGAGCAAGAAGAGACAGAGACCTACGCCTGAAACTCCTGCTATGTGATAAGGCTCTTCAGCCATCACACATTCTACAGCAGGAGTCACCTCAACCCCCGAAAAGAAGGGCATTATCCCCTGCGGCAGTGGGAGCAAAGAAGAAAAAAGCCTCCCCTGCCTGCTCCCTGCCAGCAGTTCCTCTGCCCCCAATAAATCAGGGAGACCGGGGATCGGAAAATAGCCGGTCGGCGGCTAAGTCAATTTCACGTCCGCGATCTTCTAAGCCTGGCAAGCCCCACATGGCATCTGCCCCACCGCCAGCCTCCTCTCTCCATAGGGAGCATAAGCAGGCTTCGACCCCTTTGGGGAGCAAGTGGCCCTGGCAAACGGCGCCGACGGAGAAGGCACCATCCCCGGAACAGCGGGACATGCAGGGATCAGCACCGGAGTCGGCAGTCCGGGCGGTTACTGAGATGGTGCCGCTTACGGCTCCGCAAGACTGGGTGCCGTCCACACCAAACAGGAGACTGCACCGGGAGAGCCCCGCACTGCAAAGCATGGACCCAGCACCGGCATTGCAACCGGCACTGGCAGCCATCAGCTGTTCCTCAGCACACCCGGTGCCGCAGGAATTACCCGGCTCGGCACCGAGGGCGCTCTCGCATTCTACTCAGCAGTCTACATCAAGACTGCAAACAGGCTGTCCCTCCTCCTATGAGTCAGACTCTCCATCAGTGAAAGAGATTTATCGGAGCACAGCAGGGGACTCTTCAATTGTAAAAGGGCACTTATCATTAGTCCCTACAAAAGCATCTAGGAAGTCGATCCCTAGGGATCATTCACTGTCTCCTTCTCCTGTGCCTTCAACAGACCCTTCCCCACCCCTTTATCCAGTATCCGGAAGGGGACCTTACTCTCCGAGGCATAGGTCTTCGCGTTCCCCGCGACGAAGATCTCGCCATTATTACAGATACACATCTCACTCTCCGAGTTACTCCCCTCCAAGATCTCACCATACTAGACATGGCAGTAGATACGCTTCCAGAAGGTCATCTCCTGATTCTGACTATCGTTATCACAGGAGTTATTACACGGGGAGGCAGGGCAGATCACAGTCCCTTTCTTATTCGTGTTGCTGCCGCCAGTCATCTTACAGATTCCGTTTGCCACCTGTCTCTGACCACCAACCGCTGCAGTCACCCGGACTTCCTCCTAGTGCCCCTTCAGTTTCGGTCCTGTCGGAACCTGAAAAGGGTCAAATCTCGGACACGGATGAGCGGACGCCACAAGCTTCCCCACAGGATGCCCAGTCGTCTTCTCCCGATGACGCAGTTTTTGCAATGGACTCCTCACCACCAGATGATACCTGAGAATTTCAAGACCTCTTTAAGAGGGTGGCACAATCACAGGAGGTTCAGTTAGCGGAGGTGAAAGCAAAGCAGTATAAGTTACTAAAGAACTTGCACCCTAGACAGCAATTTAAGGTGGCTCTACCGCTGGACGAGGCGATCCTGGAGCCAGCCACAGAAATTTGGAATACGCCGGCTTCCACTACTCCATCATGTAAGCGAGCAGAGAAGAGATACTTTATATCTTCAAAGGGTGCTGAGTTCCTTTTTACTCACCCTCAGCCAAGCTTCCACTAGTCAGAGACACCAATCCCATTTTCCAACATCGGCTGCGACCCTACTACCATCAATGGGTTGGCATATCATCGAACAGATGGGTTTTGGAAGTGATAAAATTCGGACTCACCATCCCATTCACATCCCTTCCCCTCACCACTCCTCCCATCCCATTCCTTTTCAGGGATCCTTCTCACGAGGCCCTCTTACAACAGGAGGCCTATTGCCTGTTAGAAATCGGAGCGATAGAAAGGGTCCCAGACTGCTTCAGGGGAAAAGGGTTCTATTCGAGGTACTTCCTAACTCAAAAGAAAACAGGGGGTTGCAGACCCATACTCGATCTACGAGGGTTAAACCGTTATCTGCGGAAGCAGCGATTCAAAATGATGACTCTGACTATGATCATTCCTTCTCTCGACACCGATGACTGTTTTGCGGCCCTCGACCTCCAGAATGCCTACTTTCATGTGGCCATACACCCTGCGCACAGGCGATTTCTGCAGACATGATTACTATTATGACAGATGTCGTTTATACTCCCCTCGACACAACACAGTAAGATCACCTTCCTGTCACTAGCCTCCAACTTCAGATAACAGGACGAACTCTACAGCTCCATCGGTAACCAGACCTCCTACTCCAACTGGAGTTGCACCCCCTGTTCCACATCAATCGGAAACAGAGGAGGGTCAACTGTTGGACCATGAGGAGGCACAAAGACACTCTCTCACAGATATTTCATCTTTGTCACCTGATGATGCCGTCTTTCCCGGTGATGCATCTCCCACTGATGACACCTGACAGTTTCAAGAGTTGTTCAAATGGGTTGCTGATAGCCAACAAGTGCAACTCTTGGAGGTCCAACAGAAACAACACCATTTACTAAGAAACCTACAACCGTCCCAGAGGTCTAAAGTCACATTCCCGCTTGATGATGCGATTCTGGAAATAGCGGATGATATATGGCAGACCTGGCGTTGATGCCCACTACAAATAAGAAAGTGGGCAAGAAATGCTTTGTACCCGCTAAGGGCATGGAATTCCTCTTTGCGCACTGTAGTGGGGCAGACTGGCCGCCCACTGAGCCGGAGGTGGAGGAACCCCTCTGGGAGCCATTTTGGGCCCAGCCTAGCCCCTCCCAGTCACCTGACCGGAAGGCAAGGGGCAGGGCTAGGACGATAAAAAGCCAGGCTGAGAGCTCAGTCTGGGCCCAGCCTCGGTGGGAGACAGAGGTCTGCCCAGAGCTCCCTGCCTTAGAGGCCGAGACCAGGTTCGGGCCTTCAACTGCCTCTGCCCCGGAGGCTTACCCCGAACTCCCAGACTGGCTAAACCCCCCTCCCAGTCACCTGACCGGAAGGCAAGGGGCAGGGCTAGGACGATAAAAAGCCAGGCTGAGAGCTCAGTCTGGGCCCAGCCTCGGTGGGAGACAGAGGTCTGCCCAGAGCTCCCTGCCTTAGAGGCCGAGACCAGGTTCGGGCCTTCAACTGCCTCTGCCCCGGAGGCTTACCCCGAACTCCCAGACTGGCTAAACCCCCCCCCAGGCCC